TAGAAATTAAACATGGTCCTGATTGACCAATGGGTTTAGGAAGACATGAAGAAGGACATTTAAAAATACCTTGAAACAAAATGAAAATCAAAATGAAACATATAGGATACAGAAAAACAGTGCTAAGAGGGAAGTTTAGAACAATATACAGTTACATCAAAAAAGTAGAAATATTTAAAAGAAACAATCTAATGATGCACTTTAAGGAACTAGAAAATCAAGAAGAAACTAAACCTAGAATTAGTAGAAGAAAAGAAATATATGTAAGAAAGATCAAGATAAAACTCAATGAAAGAGAAAAACCAAATAAAATCAGTGATGAAAAATAAGATATTAAACCTGATACCAGAGAAATACAAAAGATTGTCAGCAACTTTTATGAACAACTATATGCTAACAAATGGGAACACCTAGAGGAAATGGATAAATTCCTAAATACATAAAACCTACCAAGATTGAATCAGGAAGAAATAGAAAACCTGAATAGACCAATAATGAGTAATAAAATTGAATCAGTAATAAAAAGTTTACCAACAAAGAAAAAGTCAAGGAACAGATGGCTTTGGCTGAATTCTGCCAAACTTACAAGGAAGAGCTAACATCAATTACATCAATTATCTTCAAACTATTCTCCAAAAAATTGAAGAGAAGGGAATTTTTCCTAACTCATTCTATAAGGCCAGCAACACCCTGATGCCAAAAACAGACAGGGACAACACCAACAACAAAAGAAAAAGCTATAGGACAATATCTTTTATGAACATAAATGCAAAAATTTTTAACAAAATACCAGCAAACCAAATCCAACAGCACATCAAAAAGAGAATACATCATGATCCAGGGATTTATCCAAAGGATGCAAGGATGTTCAATATATACAAATCAATAAATGTGATGCATCCCATTAACAGAGTGAAGGACAAAAACCATATTGATCATATCAATAGTGCAGAAAAGCATTTGATAAAATTCAACATTTTTTATGACAAAAACTCTCAACATAATAAAGGAGAAAACCTCTACAAGGAAAATTACAAAACAGTGTTGAAAGAAATTGAAGAGGACATCAAGACCAGCCTGAGCAAGAGCAAGACCCCATCTCTCATAAAAATGGAAAAAATAGCTGGGCATTGTAGCAGGTGCCTCAGCTACTGGGGAAGCTGAGGAATGAGGGTCACTCAAGTCCAGGAGTTTGAGGTTGCTGTGAACTGTGAGGATGCCACGGCACTTTACCCAGGGTGACAGTAAGACTGCCTCAAAAAATAAAAAATAAAATAATAAAGACAAAAAGTGGCCAAAGGCCCCAAATAGCCACTTCTCAAAAGAAGATATGCAAATGGCAAACAAGTATATGACACTAACCATCAGGGAAATGCAAATCAAAACCACAGGGAGATGTTATCTTACCCCAGTTAGAATAGTTGTTATTAAAATGATAGAAAATAAGAGATGCCAGGGAGAATGGGGAGAAAAGGGTGGGGATGTAGATGATAATAGTACAGCCCCAAAGGAAAACAGTATGAAGGTTTCTCAAAAAACTAAAAACGTAACTACCATATGATCCAGCACTACTGGGTATACATCCAAAGGAAAAGAAGTCAATATACCAAAAATCTACAGTTCCATGATTATCACGGCACTGTTCACAGGAGCAAAGATAAGGAATCAATCTAAGTGTCCATCAGTGGGTGAGTAGATAAAGAAAATGTGGTCTATAAACATAATGGAACACTATTCAGCCGTAAAAAATGAAATCCGGTCATTTGCAGCAACATGAGGGGAACTGAAGGTCATTATGTTACGTAAATGAAGACAGGAACAGAAAGACAAACATTACATGTTCTCACTTGTATCTGAGAGCTAAAATAGTTGCTCTCAAGGAGAGGGAGAGCAGGACAGATACCAGCGTCTGGGAGGAGTGTGTGAGTGGGAGAAGGTGAAGAGAGGTTAGTTAATGGGCACACGCATACAGGTAGATAGAAAGAGTAAGTCTTAGTGGGGTTTTTGTTTGTTTGGAGACAGAGTCTCACTTTGTTACCCTGGGTAGAGTGCCATAGTGTGATGGCTCACAACAGCCTCATAGCGATCCTCTTGCCTCCACCTCCTAATTAGCTGGGACTACAGGTACCTGCCACAATGCTGGGCCATTTTTTTTCTACTTTTAGTAGAGCTGAAGTTTCTCTCTTGCTTAGACTGGTTTCGAACTGGTGAGCTCAAGCAACCCACCCGCCTTGGCCTCTCAGAGTGGTAGGATTACCGGCGTGAGCCACTGTGCCCAGCCCAGAGGGCTTAAATGCAAAACAATGATGAATACTGAAGGTGATAGGTAACATGAGTACCCTGACTTGATCAATACATATGTTATGCAAGTAATAAAATTATTTCCTATGCCCCTTAAATATGTATAAATATTATGTATCAATCAAAAATAAATAATGAATGAGTAAGTAATAAAAATTCAGATAATATGAATAGTAGACAAGGATGTATAGGACAACATGTCTCTTACACATGCCAATAGGAGAGTAAAATGGTGCAACTATTTCGGAAAACAATCTGGAATATTTTGGACATACAATTATCCTTTAAAGCTAAAAATTCATTTACCTTGTGACCAAAAACTTACATCGTGAGATGCTCTTGAACATTTGCAAAAAGGTATCTATATGTATAAGCATTGTTCTTAGTAGTAAAATCAAGAAACAGCTCCAAAACATTCATCAACAAAAGAATGGTCATCTAAACTGCAAATTAATTCATACAGTGGGATATTTCACAGCAGAGAAATGGATGAACTAGAGCTTCTGTTACCATTTGGATGAATCTCTAAAGCAGGGATTTCCAACCTGTGTGTTTGCTATATACATACTGGTGTGCCATGAGAGGGTCTGAGATGTGTGTGCTGTGAAAAATTTTAAAGATCACTAATTAAATTATTATTATTCTTTTATTATTATTTTTTTTTAGAGACAGAGTCGCACTTTGGTGCCCTCGGTAGAGTACTATGGCATCACAGCTCACAGCAATCTCCAGCTCTTGGGCTTAGGCGAGATTCTCTTGCCTCAGCCTCCTGAGTAGCTAGGACTACAGATGCCCACCATAACGCCTGGCTATTTTTTTTTTTGCAGTTTGGCCAGGGCCGGGTTGGAACCTATCACCCTCAGTATATGGGGCCAGTGCCCTACTCACTGAGCCACAGGTGCTGCCTAATTAAATTATTTTTGAAAGAAGCTCCAAACACAATAAGTATATTCTTCTTTTTATTCTTTTTCTTTTTTTTGGATGAACATAATTTAAGTGTCCTACAGAAATTTAATTATAGGTCCAAATGTGCTGAGATTAAAAAAAAAAAAAGATGGAAAAACACTGCTCTAAAGTATACTCTTGAGTGAAAACTGTTGTCACAGACAATATATACAAAGGCAAAATTCAAAGTAGTGTGTGCCCTTTGAGGGAGAGAGGATTACACGATCGGGGATGGACACATAGGAGTTTCAACGACACTGGGAATGTTCTGTCTCAAACTGGGTGGTACACAAATTGAGGTTTGTTTTTTTCACTTCCTCTATATCTTTATTATGTATATTCTTTATATTAATGTAAGTATTCTGCAATACAACTAATTTTTTTTTTTTTTGCGTTTTTTTGTTCAGGGCTGGGTTTGAACCCACCACCTCCAGCATATGGGGCTGGTGCCCTACTCCTTTGAGCCAGAGGTACTGCCCTATAACTAAATATTTTTGAATACTTATTTTTTGATTTTTTGTTAAGATATTTATAATATACTCTTAGTTGTTTTGAAATGTGCACACTAAGTGAGATCCCACCAAATACCCTCCCTCCACTTGCCCTCCCACCTCCCCTTCCCTCTCCCCTCTTTCTTTCTAGGCTATATTTGTGTTTTATCATTTGTATAAATGTGTAAGTGTTTACATATTGGTTTCATAATAGTATTGCATACTATGGATACTTTTTTCCCTTCTTGAGATACTTTACTAAGAAGAATATGTTCCAGATCCATCCAGGTAAACATAAAAGATGTAAAGTTTCCATCTTTTTATGGCACCATTTGTTTATCCATTCATGAGTTGATAGGCACTTAGGCTGCTTCCATGATTTGGCTATTATGAATGGGGCTGCAATAAACATTCTGGTGCAAATGTCTTTGTTGTAAAATGATTTTTGTTCATCTGGGTAGATATCTAGTAATGATATTGCAGGATCAAACAGGAGGTCAACTTTTAGTTCCTTGAGAATTTTCCATACTTCTTTCCAAAAGGCTGTTAGTTTGCAATCCCACCAGCAGCACAGAAGTGTTCCCTTCTCTCTACATCCATGCCAACATCTGCAGTTTGGGGATTTTGTGATGTGGGCTAATCTTACCGGAGTTAGGTGATATCTCAAAGTGGTTTAGTTTTGCATTTTTCTGATGATTAAAGATGATGAACATTTTTTCATGTGTTTGGCCATTCCCCTGTCATACTCAACAGAGACGTTTCTGTTCAAGTCTCTTGCCAGAAATAAGTAGGTTTATTTGTTCTTTTCTTATTGATTAATTTGAGTTCTCTGTAGATTCTAGTTATCAGAACTTTGTCGAAAACATAACCTGTAAAAACCTCCCATTCTGAAAGCTGTTTGCTTTACTTACAGTGCCCTTAGCTGTGCAGATTAAATACTTATTGACTGAAAGATTTATAAGCCAGTGTGAAACACCACACCAGCAATCAAGAGAGTCTATAACCACCAGCTGAGCACCTCTGGGTAACTGACCCTGTGTTTGGCCCCTGAATGCACATACAGACCAGCCTCCATTCCTGACCACCAGCAAGACAAGACAGGTGCACATGCTACACCCAAAATGCCCAATGAGAGGGATTGCCCACGTGCTCTTAACTAGACAAAAGGAAGCAGGAAGGGGGATTCGAGTTAAAGCCTATAGTTGCAAAGTTAAAGAAGAGAGGGGCTGATCGGAGAAGACTCTCCTTGGGGGCATCCCTTACCTTCTCACAGTACCAGCCTCTGTTGACACCTACGTTGCCATGCCCAATGGAGACCCGACTCAGGGGGCTAAGGAGAACAGTCAGCTCGATGTGGAAGATGTCTGTGCGGCCTCGGTCAAACACACCGCCCTCCAGGAAGATTTTCCCACTGTTCTTAAGTCCTCTGGCCCCATACATGACCAAGTAGATTTTGGATTTGGTTCCAGCCCCATGGACGTCTCCAGTAAAGACAGTGACAATATATGTGACAGCTGGTGTGGAAACAATGGGTGGAGAGGGTTTGACGTGAGTTGCATTACCAGAGCCACGCCCATCCCACAGCTGGCTACAACACCTCCCAAGGTCCCTCCTGTCACACATCCTCCTTCTCGTCATGTACTCCTCCTACAGATAACAGCCAATGTCCCCCTTGACCTCATTTCCTCTTTTCCAGCAGTTGTGTGTCAGTGCATCTGAGTTTGGGAATAAACTGCATGTATTATTACAGGAAACTGTCAGTGCTCGTTACAGGAAAGCAACAAAGAGAAGGAGGACTTGGAATGGCCAAGAATAGTACTTATTATTAATGATAATTACCATGTGTACATTATTAATAGCTGCCAGATGAATTCTGTTATGTCTAATCTAATTATAATAGTCAATTTCATTAATGGAGATTTATATTCAGAGCTATCTGATGCATTTAGCTTGCTCTTTTGCTGATAACTTAAAAACCTAACTTCTAACGGAAGGCATTAACGTCCTCCTTCAACACCTGTAGTGGAATGAGGGAGGACTGGGGGAGGGAGGGAACACTGTAGGCTGGTTTATTTTGGGGTTTGGTCTGTTAGGAGGCAATATAAGAATACAAAATTCTGAGGAAGAGCCAGCAAGGGGAGATTAAACTCTGAGATAGGGCAGAGTAAGAAAAACACATCAAAGGCAAACATTTGGACAGGCAGTCATGTTAAAATGTGGCCTACGTTCTTTGAGTCTGTGCTAGGGTCTAAGGCCATTGGCACTATAAGCCTTATTAATTCTCCCAGCCTGCTCTGTCCCATACCCTCACTGGTGAGCTCAGAGCAATAAAAAACCCAAGTTTCTTTGGGAGACAGTACATGCCACGATATGGATGCATTATTCATCACACATTCACGCCTTCTTTTGTTCAGCAGACATTTACTCAGTGCTTACTAGACGCCAAGCCTTCGGGAGTTTATAAAGATAGAAAGGAATGGTTGCTGCTCTTAAAAAGTGGGTCTGGAGCTTTATTTCTCCAAGACACATGGACAGATGGTATTCTCACCCAGACAGACTTCCATGCCGGGTTAGGGCCAGTTCTCAGCTGCCGTCATTTCTCCTCTTCTCTATCACTGGAGACAAGTACTGGTGACACATCCAGTGGGATTATATTAAATCTATTCTAGTACGTTTTAAGTTGTTGCACATGACTTATGACACGCCTGACGATGGTCAGGCCACAATGCTGAGGCTGAAAAGAGCTGCCACAGACGAGCATGTAGTCTCCTGAACAGCAGCAGCAAAGGCCCACCCAGGATGCACAGAGCAAAAGACGGAGAAATTACCAGCCCAGGGGAGGTCGGGAAAGCAGGAATTGGCGAAGCAGGAAGAGGAGAACAGACTTTACAGGCTGAGGGGAAAGCAAGTTCCAAAGATAAAGGGAGAAAGAGATTAATATAAACAGAGCAGGGGTTGGGGGGTGGGGGAAGCACTTGGCTGAGGTGGGGGGGAGAACGGAAGGCATGAGGGTACAGTGGGCGAGAGGGTGTGGGAAGACTCTGCTGATAGGATAAACTGCAGACTAACTGTGGGCAATTTGCATATTATGATGCAGAACGTGGACTTTAGGCAGCGATGAGCCATGGGAGGTTCTGGGGCGTGTACAACATCAGCATTGATTCTCTAAACCATCCATGACCATGCCTGCCATGCTGGGAGTGGGAGCCTTTCCACGGAATTCACAGGGTGGGGCTTTAGGAAACAGATCAAACCCTGGATCTGACACTTGCCAGCTGTGTGACCCTGGACAGGCCTCTTAACTTCTCAGTGCCTTAGTTTCGTCCTCTGTGGAATGGGAACAGTAACAGTTCCTACCTATATCACAGGGTGATTGTGAGGGTTAAGGGACACAAAGTGAGTCAGGTGCCTAGAATGGGGTCTGGCATATAGCAAACATTTGCTATTAGGAGGTGTTAAAGGTCAATCAATGTCCTTGTAAACATCCACTCTTATCAGAAGTTCATATTCTGGCTTCATCCTATTGATAACGTCCTTTGCCCTGGGCATTGCGCCAGGTCCCCTGGCATGAACAGAGCCCCTGGCTGTAGCCCCGAGGAACGTTTCCAGGTGCAAACCTGGCTGGCTCTTGCTTAACCACAGCCTCGGGGTCTACAGGTGAAAACACTGACCCTCAGGCAGAAAGTGAAATAGCAAATGGGCCTCCTCTTTCTTCAGATATACCTGTGGTCTCAGCTCCACGCACTAAAATATCTCTTTGGATTTTGCCATCGTCCTCATCCAAGGCCAGCCAGCGGTTAAGCGGGAAGTCATATTTTCTTTTGTTCCCAATATCTTCAATGACAATCTGGGAAGGAGAAAGAGGGAAGGGACGTGGATAAGTGTTGCTGAAGGTGCACCTGGTGATCTAATCCAATCCTCCAATCACCCGAGCGCTCTCTAAGAATACGCTCTCATCTCCTTAATGGCCCAAGGAAAGCTTATCACAAGGACACAACTGTGTCCAGGAAAGCCTGGCAAAGCTTAGCGTCACGCAGGGATAACTGCCAATTACCTCCTACTTGGATTACTGAGCCACCGCTGCAGATCATTTTTTAAACTGAAGCAAGAAACTTGGCAGAATGTGCCCTGTGAGACTGGGCTGCAAGACCTGGAAGGCTGGATTTGCAAACTGTGACGAGATCATCACCTTCCTCGCATGCTGAAGGTTGGCATTCTGACCTTATTGGTAAGAAACAGAGTCCGTGCGATGGGAATTGTAAACCTCGAATTAGGCACACAGAATCCTAGCATCTGATTGATGATCAGGGCTGAAAATATCAGCCACTGCCAGACAGTGAGGCTACTGGAATTGGCCATATGTGAAGCCAATGGGACTCTCACGTGAACCAGGTTAGTGAGGCTGAGATAAAGGCGTCCTCTAGAATGTGCCAAAAAACAGAGGGGCTCTCCCAATATGTGGGAGAAGATCCAAATGAAAACTTGCTCTCAGACAGGCAGAACCGTTAACTAGCTTGTGTCCTCCAGCCAGAACACCGTGTGAGCAGAGGGTGACCTTTTCACTATTTAGATGTATCCCATAACCTCACGTTGTAGACCTCAAATATACGCAATAGCATTAAAAAAAAAATCAATCACTTTACAACAGCATTAATATGATAAAATACTACCAAGACCAAGCAAGCACCCGGTAGCTTGTGTAATACAGGAGACAGTACTATAAAAACCAAAAGGCATTAGAGCAAAACTATACTTTACCAGTTGTCACCGCACACGCTCAAAGTGCACCTCCCTTTGCCTTACATTATTCCCGTGGAAAAATCCTGTCTCAAATTAAATGAATTTCAAATTATGTCAATTTTTAAGGAATGCATGTCCTTGTAACATGCCACCAGCCTGTGCCAAAGACCCAGGCAGTGGACATAAGAAAAAACATCACATCAGGGCAGAGTTGTACCCAGACAGGGCTGAGGATCTGAGAATTGGACTAAGGACCTCCACTCAGCCCTGCATATGAGAAGGGAATTCGAGAATTACCCAGTTGCAACAGCTAAGGATAAAAACAGAAGGAGGAGGAGGAGATTTAATAGATATAAGAGAACCTCCATAGTTAATCACCTCCCTACAGTGACCACTTCCTTAAGTTGACCTAAATTTCACAGACCACCTCCCTACAATGACTACCTCCTTCAGCTTGCTAATTTTCACAGATCTGACATGCCTCACATATCCTCAGTGGAAGTTCTCCATATGTTGACCAGGATGTTACAGTCCCTTGGGCGGTCAACTTACAGAGGTTCTACTGTCTGTCCTATGGGCCAGGTGCAGCTTGACTATTGTCAAACATAAATCTGAAGAAGGCCCTATCTCACTTGAGGCTGGGTAAAGAGAGAATTCCAGGTTAAAGCCTTATGAAAAAGTACTCCTGAATCAAAGATAGAGAAATCATTCCACAGAATCAGAAGAAGAGTAGAATTCTGCAAGTGACCTAATATATAACGCAGGAAAAAAATTCAGGAAACTGGGATGCTTAATAGAATACAAGAAGATTTAGTCTTTATGAAGTAGGAATAAATATCTTTAGGGATAGAAGAGATTACAGGGGAAAGGCAGTAAGATGCTATGAAATGGTAGGCCAGGGTAGATCTGTTCAATGAAATACTATTATAGTTATGTCAAATTATATTGTTGGGTAGCACCTTAGCTCAGTAGGTGCTGGCCACCTACTCCAAGGCTGGTGGGTTCGATCCCAGCCCAGGCCAGCTAAAATCAACAATGACAATTGCAACCAAAAAATGGCTGGGCATTGTGGTGGGCACCTGTAGTCCCAGCTGCTTGGGAGGCTAAGGCAAGAGAATCACTTAAGCCCAAGAGTTGGAGGTTGCTGTGAGCTGTGATGCCA